CTGCAAATGAAGTTGGGCATAGTGGTATGGCGGTGCATGCCTGTAATCCTAGCTACTCAAGAGGCTGAGGCAGAAGATCACAAAGTCAAAGCCAGCCTGGGCAACATAGGAAGAACCTGTCTCAAATTTTTTAAAAGGGATGAGGTTGACATAAATCCCTAAAAAAGCTAGTAAACATAATCTTGACAAGTTATTTTGGTACTTAAGCAAAGGAAACAAAGGCCATTATGAGCCAGGTCCATGCACTATCACCAGCCTCCCACACAGGTCATCCGGATACACAGCAGACTGTGCTGCGGCCCAGGCAAGAGACAAGGGACCTGCAGGGCTGACAAATCTACTTTTCCCCAGCTGGAAGAGGCCCACAGGCCACAGCACAGCCTGGCAGAAGTACCACTAATGCACAGAGAAGGGATGCTTAAGAGACCTCATCTTCTATTGTTAATGGCTGGAGGGACAACAGGTGACTTGGGGGTAAGGGAGCACAGGACAGGTGGTGGGAAACACAGCAGGGACCAGAAGAACCTACCTCAGGGGGAGGGGCACCAGGTGCCTGGACAACGTGCAAACACCCATGCCTGAAACTACCCAGGGTTTCTACCTGGGCCTCATTCCCATCTACCCAAAAGGCAGAGAAGCAGCATCAGAAGCCGAGCCCCCACACCTCATCAGACACTGGACCTTATATGAGGCCCAGGCAACTCTGTCCCCACCCCAACCCACAAGACATACAGACAGGAGGACACAGGGAGACTGATCTGAAGACAGGGTGGCAAAATCAGCAGCCTGGGGATGCTAGGGAGGTGAGTCAAGCTCCCTTCCCAGGGCTGTAGGACTCAGAGCCCTACTCTGAAGGGACTATCAAGATGGCCTAGTCCCGTACCATCCAGCACAGTAGTGGGGCCCACAACCCAGGCAGGGAAGCCCCAAAAGGACAGACACAAAGATAGAGCACAGGCCAGAGCTGCACGCCCTAAAACCCACATTCCAACATGGTCCAATCACTCGACTACCCTGAGCTCTACGGTGGCACCCTCAGAACCTTGCCCTACCCAGCTGTTGGCCATGGCACATACAGGACCCTCCACCAGGAGCCTTCCCGGCTCACCTGAGCCCCAAGGTCTAGAGCTGTGCACCCCCTCACTGTACCCACATAGTCACACACATGGCAACACCCCATCGGTCCTTCCTAGGCCATCCATGCACCACACTCCTGTAAGACCACCGAAGGGAAGGCAGACAACAAGTATGCTGGGACTCCAGGCCACCAACCTCAAATACCTGTTCCCCAGAAGGGACCAGGAAGAGCTGGGCCTAGGGACACAGGCAGATGACTTACCCCCTTTTCTTCTCCGAATGGAGGCTTGGAATCGAGAAACAGAGCAAAGGGGGTAAGAGGCAGGCTTCATCCCATGGCACTGGGCCCATTGTCCACACTCATTTCCCCATCCCATTCAGTTCCCCATGCTAACCCACCATCCCCCACTTCCCCAGCACACAGGACCTCGGCGATCTGCCCAGCCGAGCCACCATACTGGACTGTGAGAGCAAATCTGTCCAGATGCTGCGCTGGTCGGTACACAGAGGGATATACACTTATGTGTACTATACACATGCTCACACATGCACCATGGCCACTCACACATACACACATGTGTGCACAGATACAAGCACATGGCAACATGTACAAGTAAAACACAGTCCAGTCAAATATTTGTTCAGAAAAGGAGGAAAGGGCTGAGGATTTGGCTCAGTGGTTCCGCCACCTGCCTTGAAAGTGCAAGGGCCAGAGTTCGATCCCCGGTACCAAACAAAACAAAACAATAAATGAGCCGGGGATTTAGCTCAGTGGTTCCACTGCCTGCTTCACATGCACAAGGACCCAACTTCGATCCCCGGTACCAAATAAAAAAAAAAGAAAAGGAGGAAAAAAAACTATAAAAATCAAGTTCAGAGGCCACTGAAAACCAAGATAGTCACCCTTAAGATTCTGTGCAAAGTAGGCTTTTGGGGGGTTATTTCTTATAGAGAGTTTTTGGGGGGTTATTGCTCAGGATCGAACCCAGGGCCCTGAGCATACTAGATAAGCACTCTACCACTGAGCTACACCCCTGGCCCCCGGAGTAGGTTTTTAACAAAAGGCAAGACAAGTATGTTTGGAAGAGAAATTTTTTCCACATTGATGCCAATAACAGGTACAAGGGCACGTCACCTACCCTAATTTCTCATCACAAAAGCAAAGGGGGTGCTGGGGATTTAGTAGCTCGGTGGTTCCACTGCCTGACTTGCAAGTGCAAAGACCCAAGTTCGATCCCCAGTACAAAAAAAAAAAAAAAAATGCAAAGAGGGCCTAGTTATTACAGGGAACTGATTTCACCTAAGAAGGAGAAGAATGAGGCAACTGGATCCACCAGGACCCTCCCAGGCTCAGTCTTCCCTGGCCTCCAGCCCCAGCACATCTTTGGTTCAAGCTGAGCAAATGTGCACATCATGACAGTGAGGAGCCCTTTTTTTTTTTTTTTGGCACCAGGGATTGAACTCAGGACTTTGCACTCTTCAGGCAGGTGCAGCGCCACTGAGCTAAATCCCTGGCCCCGAGGAGCCCCCTTGAGGAAGGGAACAGGAGTGCACTGCATTCCCTCCTTCCATCACCTCTCAGGCACCTGGGAAGTCCTGATGCTTGTTTCCTCAACCTAACATTTCCAGAAGAGACTGATCAGGAAGTTGGCAACTAGACTGGCCTCTTGGGACAGCTGTGAGTACAGGGTGGCTCTCCAAGCCCCTGGTCGCCCAGCCCTTCCTTAAACACAGCACACTGGGCCTAGAAGTGTGGGCTTTATGCTAAGCTGTTCTCTCCTCCTCCCCTAGATTGTTTAGGGAAAAGCCTGACACCATGACCGAGCTCCTCTGGACTAGCAGGGTCTGAAGCAAGAGGCTTCTGGAATAGAGGGGAAGATTCATCTCTTCCACTCACTGCTTCTAGTCAGTAAAGAGCACTTCCACTTACAGGGCAGACAGCCTGGGTCTTAGGCTGTCCAAAACCTCTCTGTGCAGACTAGGAGGGCCCCTACTGAACATGCAGCCAAACATGGCTCTGTAGCAGCTTGTGGCAGGTAACTCCAGAGACTACCCATCAGCCTTGCCTGGTGTCCAGCAGATACAGCCGCCAAGTGGTTTTGGCTGACTGGTCAAGTCAACATTCTATGACTGACCTTGGACTCTTACAACCCTAGAGCCAGAATCTGCAAGCATATCTAGCTCCCTCAAGGAGCACTTTTGGCTAGGTGTAGAAACTAGCTGGGAAGGCTCCATCGTCATCTGCCTTCTACTGCTGATGAGAAGTCTGCTGTCAAATAATCTATTACTACACACACACACACACACACACACACACGTATGCATGCACACATACACACATTTGCACACAATTTTTAAGATTTTTATCAGTGGTAGTCTAAAGCTTTATTCTGATCTAAATGTAGATTTGTTGTTTCCTTAAGGCTTCTTCAAACTGGAGTCTCACATCTTTGTTCACTTTGGGGAAATTCTTAGCTATTTACTCCTCAAATAGTGTCTTTTTACCATTTCCACAGGGATTTCCACCAGGTAGGGGCTGGGACCTTCTCACTGGTGCTCACTGTCCTCACGTCCCCTCCCTGCCCTCTGGTGGCTGCTCCTTCTCCTCCTGTGCTGATCAAACTGAATAGCCTCAGACTTACTTTTCCCACTCCCTGCTTCTGTTTTCAACTCAATCTAGTATAATGTTTAACCCAGCCACAGATTTCTTTTTAATCTACATTTTTTGCTTCAATAACAGTTCTCTTTAGGAATAGTTTTTTAAATGTGCTTATTCTTTTTGTTCTATCTTGTTCTCATTTGTTAGTGCTTTTGGTTCTCTTAAACTAATAACATCAACATTTTATTTTACTCTATTTCATACTTTTTTCTGACTTGCAATTCTCAAGCTATTCTAGTTCCAAGTCTTCTAGCCTTGTGGAAGCTTCAGAACCTAGCCCCTGCCCTTGAAACCTCAACCATGAGCTGAGGAAGTATCAGTTTCCCCTGCTCCCCTGGCTTTGATTTCTGTCTTTATCTTTGAGACCTGATGATTCCTCTTCTTCTGTATTTGAATTGACTGTATGTCAAATACTGATGACAAGGAAAATCCTGATCATATCAGGCCAGCCTATCTTGGTAGCTGTTTTCCACAATGAACTAAACTACAGACAAGAGAACCTGCTTAGAATAGAGCAGCTCTCGGGCCAGGGATTTAGCTCAGTAGTTCTGCCACCTGCCTCGCAAGCACAAGGACCTGAGTTTGAAGAATAAAAAAGAAAAAAAAGACAAAGAATAGGGCAGCTCTGCCCATTGCCTGGACAGAATCAAACTCAGGTAATGTGCAAGATAAGAGATCATTCTGGGAACCAGACTAAGCCACAGTAACAGTCAACTCGAACTGGGACAGGGCTCAGACTCTGGAAGAAAAAAAACGTGTCACCTATCACATGTACTGGTAATGAGGCTGTTGATGGCTGGAATATACCCACAAGGCTATTAATGGACACATGTATTAGGACAAGTCCACCAAAAAGGGTAGGTCACCTTGATATACCCACCAAAAGGAAATATCAATGTCAAGGCTGTTATCTGTTACATGTCAGGACATGGTCATGTACACTGGGATATAGCCAGGATGATGTTGTTAAAAGGACACAGTCATGTACATACAGACATGCCCATGACAAGGCTGTTAACCATTACAAGTAAGTGATCACATACACCGTGATGTGCCCGGAGCAAGGCTGTTAACTATGTTAGGAAGTCATGTATGTGGGATGTGCCCACATTGATGCTGTCAGTGGTCACCTTGAAATCGTCCCTGTCATTTGCCCAACAGTACCCGAACATTATTCTGCTCCTGCAGCCCACGAAGCCCCATCCCATCTTCATACTAGAAGTGCTCACAAAGGCCCCAGCAGTCAGCAGGCTCACTTGGACAACAAGCAGACAGGTACCAGGTAAAAGAAACATAAAAATGACCCAGCTAGTGCTGCAGAATCAGAAACAAACCCCAGGTTGCCCATCCATTATTCTTTCCTCACTTAGACAAAATGCAGCAGCAAAATCAAAGTGAAGATGTGGAGCCAGGAGCAGCACACACACACACACACACACACACACACACACACACACACACATGCATCCACATGCAAACTTGCTGCAAGACCAGCTGCCTGTCCTGGAGGTCCTGCTGCTCACCTCCAGCCCCTCAGCACTTGCCCCTTCCACATGCTGTTTTCTACAGACACTGAATCTCTCTACTTCTTCAGCACCACCACTCTCTGATCTACACCTACATCTGTCTCCTCCCTGCAGTCTGCCTGACCTCAGCCCAGCTCAGGCCCCTCGCTTCCACCCTGGCCTGCCCATTATGGGCCATCCGCCTGCTGTCCACCCCTACAGTCCCCACAGTGCTCACCAAGTTCCTCCAGTTCTGCCGTCATGGACTTAGAGCGCAGGGTCAGGGTGGTACTGGGAGCCCTCTTGGGAGGCGGTGGGGCTGCAAAGAAGAGGGAGGCCTTGGACCTCCTGTCCAGCAGAAGGCGGCGCGGTGTGGCCAGGTGCAGATGCCACTTGCGCTCTACCGCCTGGATCTCCTCGTACTCCCTCGAGGACGAATCACACTGTGCCAGGATCTTGTTCAGGCTGCGGCTGGATGCAAACTTCTTCATGGCGCAGGGAGATCAGGGAGCACCGGGGCTGGGGCAGTGGGGGCCTCTGGGGCCCTTGGGACCCCCAGGACCCCCAAGACCCCCAAAGCCTGGGCTTCAGAAGGCTGTCAACCGGTGCTGGTGGGGGTCAGAGTGACGGCTGGCTCTGGATTGAGTGCCCACCCTGCAGGCTCTAAGGGCCTGGCAAGGGGGCACCAAAGCCATGGGGTGGGGGCTGGGAGGGTCTCCTGCCAGGCCAGTTGCTGCTGCTCCAGGGCCCCCCAGGGGGCCAAGCGGCCACTGCCCCTTGGGGACCAGGGTGTGGCCGGCCAAGCCACAGGCCTGGCTGGGCTGGGCCAGCGGCAAAGCCTCCTGGGCCCAGGCTGTTCGCCTGCGCGGCGCGGGGAGAAGACGCTTTTCCTCTTCCCTCAGGTGCCTCCTCCCCCTTCCCTCCAACAATAAGCAGCAGCGTCAACCTCACAGTTGCCATGGCAACCCCGGCCTCCAGGCAGTTGCTGGTGGTGTCGGGAAGGAAGGTTCTGCCATGCCAGGGGCTGGGGGACGGGGAAGGAGGGGGCGGGAATCTGAGGAAGGGTACCTGGGGTCAGGGATCAGAGGCCTGGCGAGGGGTCAGGGGTCATCTAATGCCAGGCACCAGAAGCATCCTGGGATGAAAATTTGGGCATTTTGTCTAGGTTCAGGAATCTGATGTCAGCAGTGTAGGGTCAAGGATGGGGACAGAAACGTGGCTGTGACGTTAAAGGGCTAAGGTCAGGAACAAAGGGGAGAGTCTGGGCCAAACCCCAAAACCTAAGCCCTCACCTCTGCGCCGAGCCCCATCCTCCTCTGGCTTCCTTGTCACAGACACGACCTTCATGACCAGGCGGTTTCCACCCTGGCGGATCAGAGCTACCACCTGCTTGTGTCCAACCTTCACCACATTCACCCCGTTCACCTGAGACAGAGAAGCAGCTGGAAGGGACGTCCCAGTGCGACTCCTGGGACTCAGGGGTCAGCACCCTGCCAGGCCACACAGTTTGGGAGGGGCCTCACCTCGATGAGGAAGTCTCCAGTGCGCAGCCCGGCCCTCCAGGCCACCCCCTCCACGTCCACAGACTCGAGGTACTGCAGCGCAGGGAAGGCCGGTGTGGGTGTGAACTCTTCGATGGGGGTCTCCGCTGCAGAGGCAAGCAGGAGGGCTCCTCACCAGTATGGCTGGGATTCAGGTCAGGGCGTAACCCAGGCTGGGCAGGCAGCAGGTAGAGCACCAGCAAGGAACCCAGCACACATCCTTTCAAGACTCTCCCTCACCCCTCCAGGAGGAGGCCCCTACTCTGCCAGGCTCCCCACAGCAGAGAGGGAAAAACAGAAGGGAGAGAACTGCTGCCTTGAGCTGGGACTCCAAACCTAGTCAGCAGAGGATGCTGGGAGGGGCCAGGAGAAGGGGGGGCGGGGGCAGGGCACAGAAGACACCCTAGCATGCACTGAGTCCCCACAGCACCACACCATTACCTTTGGCACCCCTGAGCACGAAGCCGAAGCCCTCGTGGTCCCGTTTCTGCAGGACAGCCACCTTGTCATCGATGACATAATCGCTGACAGAGGAAAGCAGGGAGGGTAAGGCCAGCCCTGTAGGGAGCGCGGCAGGCTGATCCCGCAGGGTCCCACAGCACAGGCCACCTCGGTGACAGCAGAAGGCAGAGGTGGCTGGCGTCCTCTCCTCAGCCTCCTCTGACTTCTTCAAACCCTGGCCTCCCTCTTCAGACACCCACCCCACATCTGCAGACCCAGCCCACGACTCTGTGTGTCCATGCCCTGCCCCGTGTGCCAGTACCTGTGTGAAGTGAGGCTGTCATAGGAGCCCACCGTGTAGTGGCGGAAGAGCCGCTTCGTCCGGTCCTCCCGGGTTTCTGGAGGGAGTATCAGGAGCTGAGGAAAGGCTGTGGCCTCCAGCTTGTTACATTACTCTCAACTCTGCTGGCTTTACACACCCCTTGGCCTGGCTGTACACCAATGGAAGTGGAAGCCCCAAATCCTGAGGTCCTGGGTCCACAGATCCCAAGGCAGGAAGCTGAGGGACCATGCCCAGAACCCTACCATCTGGGAGTCAGGCCTCAAGAGGGGCAGCAGCCATGCTCACCTTTCCTGAGAAGTGCGCAGATGAACACAGGAGACGACATGGCCAGGACCGCCCAGCAGCAAACCCCAAAGCCACGTGTAGGAGACAGCATGTGTGTGAGGCTCACACTCCAGGGTCAACACTGTATCCACACGCATGTATCTGTGATCTGCAGTGTATGCACATGCTACCTTCATGCTATCCTCACGTTTGTCAGTTCCTTATAAGTGTGACCCTCGCTGGTGCACAGCACACTGCTCTGCCCACACAGCACACCATCTTCGCTGGCATGCACTCCGGAGTCCCTGCTGTAGCAGACCTGCACTGAGTCCCCTTCCCTGACTTCACTGTGTGCCACAGAATTTGTCCTCATCTATCCTTTGACCTCAAAGTCCCTTGTGGCCACCGCAGAGCTGGCCAGAGTCTGTTCGCTGCCCTATCTCAGCCTTGCTGTCCCCATGCTTAGCCACGACCCAAGTGAGCAAGTCCTGCCCCTCGGCCCTACACACTCCACTCTGCTCCCCCAAGGTGCTCTCTGACTGTAGCATTTGTCAGGATTTGTTTTTTATTTCCACTGGTATTTACTGAGCTCCTACTATGCACCAGGCATTGTTTCAGGTTTTAGGTTTTCTGAAAATGTAGTAAAGAACAAAGTCTCCGTCCTCATGGAGTTAATATGCTGATAGATAAAATGAAGAGACAATAAACATACAATATGCCAAATGCTGGCAAGCTCTTAAGAGATGAGTGATTAGAGCAAGTGTGCTGGAAAAGTGCAGTTCTAGGGGGCCACACAAAGGCTTTACCAGCACAGGGAGCTGAGAAAAGGCCTAGGGCATAAGGGAGAGGCCAGTTGAAATAAGATTAAAGGGGTGTCCAGGAGCAGGGTGGTCAGGGTGCGTTTTGGCCTGGGACATTTAAGGGACCATGTGGCACCGGTGCAGCTGGAACAAAGAGAGACAGACAGAGTTGGTAAAGAAGAGATCAGAGGGGCCAGGGATTTAGCTCAGTGGTTCAGTGGCCTGCCTTGCAAGCACAAGGACTCGAGTTCAATCCCCGGTACCAAAAAAAAAAAAAGAGAGATCAGAGGGAGCTTACTATTTTTTATGATCTGTCCCCCAACCATGAGCTCTTTAAGGAAAAGACCACTGCTTATTACCTCTGTGGTCCCAGGCCCAGCATAGTACCTGATATATAACAGGCAACAAAGATAGTGTACAACTGGCCAGGTTGTGGGTAGACTTAGGCTACATGGACAGAAGGACGAGTGGACCAAGAGAGAGAAAGAATATCGAAAGGATGGACTAAAGGGTTGACAGAAATAAGAATGGATGAGCATACAGATGGACGGAAGGATAGATCAGTTGATGAACAAAGGAACTGGGTTGGTGATAGGCGGAGAAATGGATGGAGGCAGAGACGGACGAATGAATGAGCTGGGTGAACTGGGTGGGCTGCTGGGTGAGCAGACGGGTGGTAGGGTGGGTGAGTCAAAGGACACATAGATACAGCGATAGAGCAGTGGCTGGATGGGAAAAAGAAAGAGCTCCTATTTACCAGAAGACACAGATATCAAGAGAAGTCCTGGCTCAGACTTTGGGCCCTGTCATGAGGGTGTGTAACTCTCAGAAAGGCAGGCAACTGTTCCCTTTAAGCCTCTCCAAACAGAGGAGGAAGGGTCCCCCTGGCAGGGTCCCTGGGCTCTGATGGCCTATTATCTCATCATCCTGGTCCTTGAAAGCAAGCATTAGCTGGCTGGGGCTGGGGCCCTCGGTGACACCCCCACCCCCACCTTCCTGCTGCTCCAAGGCCAGCACAGACTGGGCATCGTCATGAGGCAGACAGGGCTTCAACCCCCACCCTGGCCTCCATCACAGCCTCTCCAGGTCAACCCAGTCACAGAAATGCTCAGAGTTCCTGCTTGCACAAGCCCAAATTTGCATTCACTAACCTCTTTTCAGACTTGTCAACCAAACAAATGTATTTATTACATAATACAAATTCATTTTCCAGTTTTATTAATCAGACACATAAGAGCCAGCTGAAGGGAAAATGCCAGCACCAGCCCCCAAGCGAGGACCACACGGAGAAGGAATGGAGGAAGGAGGGACAGCAAGCATCCTGGCACACTGGACCTCGGGGGTCTCAGCACAAACAGGCCCCTGAGTTTCCTCCCCTCACAGCTCAAATCTGTCCTACTCATTTAGCGCTCAGGACTGCGCCCTGGTCCCACAACAGGTAGTGACCCTGGATACCAGCCTGGCCCATGCCTCAACAGTGTGCCCCCCTTGGCCTTTAAACCTTCCTCCATTGCCATTCCAGTCCCTGAATCAGATCTTTTTTAAACTTGAGCCTACTGCTTCTGGGCTACCCTCTAAACTCAGGAAAAACTGAGCCTGAGTCCCACATGGGAGATTCTGCCCCAAGTGCTGACCAAGCATGCAGCTGATGTCAGAAAGCCAGGACTGCTCCTCCTGACCCCCTGTAGGCAACCTTCCCAAGCCCCTCGCCCTCTGCCCACCCACAGAGCCCCTATCCACCCAGGAGGCTCTGACCGCCTACTCCCCTGGATCACATGCCCTAACTGCACCTAGAAGCCCTGCCATTGCCTGGAGGCCTCCAGCTCCACCACTCCCAGGATAGCTACTGTGCTCTTCTCCCTTCTCCGTGGGCTTGACCTGCCCTGCCTACCTCTCTGCTCTGCTCTGCCCAGATCCTGATCCTAAACTAAAAAGGCCTACAGGATCAAGAATCCCCAGCCTGGTCAGCTCCCACCACAATGCCATGCTCTCCCTTCATCCATGGTTACCTAACCAGCCCTGTCTTCCTTCCCACTCCAGCCCCACTGCCCCCACAAAGCCAAGTGCCAACCTAACAAGATCCTGCCCCTCAGGGCCAAGGGATCCCCTAGAAATGGACCAATAACAAACATTTCCACCTCCCAGGACTGCTGGGCTTTGTCAAGCACTTCTTAAAGCTGCTAGACTCCTGGCACTGCTCAGACATGAGAGGTGCTGACATGTAGGGCTCTAGAACACTGTGCCAGACACTTCCAAATATGGACACCCAAGCCAGGAGCAGCAGCAGCACACACCCATAATCCTAGCACTCCGGGAGGCCGAGGCAGGAGGATGGCAAGTTTAAGCCCAGCCTGGACAATTTAGTGACTTAGTGAAACTGTCTCAAAAAAGGACTGGGTAGGGGGCCGGGGATTTAGCTCAGTCCTGCCGCCACCTGCCTTGCAAGCGCAAGGACCCAAGTTTGATCCCCAGTACCGAAAAAAAAAAAAAAAAAAAGGACTGGGTGCAAAGTACAGAGGCCCTCAGTTCAATCCCTAATACTACAAAAAAGGGAAAAACAATCTACATGGGTACCCTATCTTCAGAACACCCAGAGGACTCAGCCCAAACAATAACTCTACTTCAAAGCCCTCTGATTACTTCAGGCCAGCCCAAGGCACCGCAGTGCACACAACCTCTGCACAGCAGCACACAGCACACCCACTGTAGACACAGGCTGCCTGTTCCCCTCCAGTTTGAGAGTTGGGCCTCTGTAAAGCCAATCCAAGCCCCAGCGTGAGACAAACCTAACAAGCATCTGCTCCAGGCCAAACTTCCTTCCCTCTAGCTTCAGAATGAAATCCAAATGTCCCTGAATCCAGTTTCAAAACCAGAACCTTTGTTACCCAGGCTGTGTGGGAGCACAGGACTGGCTCTCCTTCAACAGGTTGCAGCACCCCTTCCTTCCAAGGGGCCAAACCTCTGAAACAAATTTCCTCGCCTCCACAGGAACAAGGGAGCCTGTCCCTTCCACCTCCAAGCCACCAGGGGAGCCATCAGAGTAGGACAGAGAGCAGCAGTGTCAGCAGCTTCTGCCAGCCTGGGCCCCTCAAGGTCAGCACCAGGCAAGAGTCATGGCTAGGGGTTGGGCTCCCCTGGGGAAGCCCTCAACTCAGGGAAGAGAACAAAGCAACCCTGGCCCAAGTCTCCCACATGCAAATGGAGGGACACACGTTGCTCAATCCAGACTCACCATGGATGACCTCCAGTGACCGCCACTCTGGAGGAATTCAACTTACTCCCCGGCTCTCCAGGACAAAAGTGACATTCATGGGTCTGGGCCTCCTAGGACCCCCAAGGGCCTGGTGCAAAGGGTCTATCCAAGACAAGCAACCAACTCATTTCTACCAGCGTGACCCCTCAGACCCCAGCATCCAGAGGAGGTCTTCCTGGAAGGCCAGGCATCCAGCAGGGTAGGACTAGAGCTGTGGCCTTCACTTTCAAGTCCTCCTGCTAGCTGAGGATGGGAGCCATGTCTCCCCAGCTGCATTCAGACCACCCCAGCCTTAGGGTACCCATGATTGCCCCTCAGGGACCAACTGCCCTCATTTCCTCTTGGCTGGGCCAGGCCTCCTGCTCTGCCCACTTGGACAATCTGTCCACTTTGGAAAAACGCCTCTTTTCTCACACTGACCTCCTTACCGGTCTGCCAAGCCACACATGAATCGCAAGCTCCAAACACCTGGTATTTCTATGAGGACTGGGCCAGGGGTGCAGTTAGAGTGCCTGGGAGTCACATGTGCAACTGCTGACCAGCACGTATCTCCTGTGGGCCCGCTGCAGGTATGGCGACTGCGTGTGAAGTGTCAGGTTAGATGCACATGCATTCCCAAGCACACGCATGCTATGTGCATGTCGTTCCTGCATTCTGTATACAAGTTCGCATCTACTTTGGGTATGTTTGAGTTTACTTCTCTTTTCTCTGTGAACATCCAGATTTATCACGAAGGAGACCAAAGGGGAGCTGGAGGCGAGGCACACTCAGAAGTTGATGGGGCCCCGGGGTCACTTACCATGCCGGGTGTCATACTGTCGCATCTGTACCTCTTCCACACAGTCAGCGGGGAACCAGCCCGTGCGGCCCTTCACGGTTCCTTCCCAGAATCCACCCTCCCCGATGCTGAGCACTGGAGGGACAGAAGCCAGGCAGGCTATCAGGAAAGGGCAGAGCCAGAAGCCCCTGCCTCCCCACCACGGCAGGCTCACATTCTGCCCACACCCTTCACCCTTGCTTCCCTTCCCTTCCCACAGCCTCCCAGCTTTTCCCTTGGGGAGATTTTGGGATCCACACAGGAGACAGGAACAAACAGATGGGCTCGGCACAGGATAGGCATGTGGGGGACAGGCATGCAGATGGACACACTTGAGGACAGAAGGCAAAGGCAGGGGCCACTCCTGATCCTGCCCTGGTGACCACTGTCCCTCCACTCTCCTGGCTCTGCTACCCACACAGGGGTCACTACCAAGAGCTCAGGGTCACTGTGCTATGGCCAGCAGACTGAGCCATATGATGTACCAGGAGGGCTGATGCTCAGGACTGCTGCTACCTCAGGCCCCCATGGACACAGGGCAGGGGAGGACAGGACCCTTATGAACACAGACCCCACAGGGAGAGAAGCTTGTGCCTGCCAAAACAAGAACCCCCCCCAAAAGGAACGTACACAGCTTACAGACACCCACAATCCACAGCCCCCCCCACGGTGGCTAAGGCCCCACACATCTCAAGGATTTCCAGAGAAAACGCCCCAAAAGTGACACTGGAACCCCACAGCTGAGGAAGCGCTGCAATGGGATGGGGTCCTTCCACGAGGAAACCCCAGAGACGGCTCCCATCGTGACACAGAAACGCTCCAGCGTGACACCCGAGAGCCGCACCGCCGCCCCCGGCCCCGCCCCCCGCGCCCCTT